AAATTTTTAAACTTTTAATGTAATTGAAACATCTTATCAGTTGCCAGTGGCTTTTGTTTATGTCACGATTACCAGCGATCGTATTCCACTAGATCGCCAAACCATGAACTACACTTCCGCCTTTTCCTGTACTACATATTCATAAATGCACTTCGCCCAGACACACATGGGCTGCGTCCGAAACCGCATACTTCCATACTATATAGTACGCTAAAATCAGTATGCGAGCCGAGTAGTATGTCCGAATTCATAAAATTCGAAAATCAGTATGCGTGAAGTTTCCGGATGACTTACTGCTTCCGGCGAGATTCTGAAGTGCGCATCTCATGCATGCTGCGCTATCCCATGATGCCCCGCGAGAGAATTCATGAATGAAAGTGAAGCGACGCAACTGACGCAGGTAGGTCATGTGACCATGACAAATTGGCGGATGTAGTACGTCCGAATTCCAGTCATACTTTTCACATTCAGACTGTATAGAACTTACTTTTCTATCAGCCGAGTAGTACGTTTAAATTCAAATACAGTACCTACTGAGTAGTAGGCGGTTTCGGACGCAGCCATGCTTACTCATCTAGACTGATTACATTCACAACACCTGAGGATTGTCAGAGACTGATTGCAAACATTACTTAAGCCACACAATCACCCTTTCACTCTGCCAAGTCTTGTTTATCTTAGATGACATTACAACGCGTTACTCCTGTCTAGTTTCCGTGTTTTCAACCTAGCCTTGTATTCTCGTTCTCCCTGCCTGCTGCCTGCCTTTTAACCTCTCGCCTGTTGACTGATTACGATTCTGGACTGTCTCCATATACCTGTTTGCACCTGTGTTGACCTGCAAAATTGGAAAAAAAACTGTGTTAAACCTGCATATTGGATCTTACCCCAGTTGTCTTTGTCATTCCCCGTCGTTACAGTTTATTTTCATTTAATTATTATTATTATTATTATTATTATTTTCATTTAGTATTTTAATTTCATTTATATTATTTGACCCTGATCTCAGCTCCTTTGACTTTCAAATTTGGAAATTTAAATCTGCAGTTTAAAGACTTAATAATAAAAAGCAATAATATTAATATTATTAATAATAATAATAATAGTAATAAGCAATAATAATAATAATAATAATAATAATAATAGCAATATTAATAATAATAATAATAATAAAAACAACAATAATAATAAAAACATAATAATAATAAAAACAACAACAACAATAACAACAACAACAACAACAACAATAATAATAACAACAATAACAATAATGACAATAATAATAAAAACAACATAAACAATAATAATTAACAAAAAACAACAACAACAATAATAATAATAACAACAATAACAATAAGGACAACAATAATAATAATGACAACAATAACAATAAGGATAATAATAATAATAAAACAATAATAATAATAATTATTAAAACAATAATAATAATAATAATAATAATAATAATATGTTTTTACCATGTTACTGCTGCATTTTCCTTACTAAAAATAAATTCTGGAAATTGTTATATTATTCATGAACTGAGCTAAAAACTTTGCATATTTTTTGTCAAACATTATTTTGTTGAGCTCTCGTTTTAAAAAAGGGACTTTTATTGACCTTTTTTTTGTTGCTTTTCTACTTTTTGCAATTTACACAATNCAACAAGGCTATATACAGTATATATTAACTAAAATATTAATAATAATACAGTAAAAGTCACTTTATTAAACATTTTGATGTCAAAAGTTGCCAGAACAGACTTTAAGAACCCATATCGTAAGCATAAACACACAGCACAATATTAAATGCTATTGGCTGAACTGTTGAACTACTTAAGTAGGACTTATTTTATCTGTAATTTGATATGTGTATTGTCTTCTGTTCTCTCCTAAAGCCTCTGATTAAACTAAATGTCATTTAATGAATGTTAGTACGTAATATTGAATGACAGACTTCAATTTAAATGATCAAGTACTTCACTTGTTTTAGTTTGTTAGTCAACACATCAAAAATAAATCAATTAAATATTACGTTTAGTGATTTAAAATGTAAAAAAGGTTGCATTTACAAACAGACTTAGGTATACTTTAAGTGTATATATATATATATATATTTATATATATATATATATATATATATATATATATATATATATATATATATATATATATATATATAGATATATATATATATAGAAAGAAATTTTCAGAAAGAAATATAGTTATAATTACTGTTTTCACATTACTGTGAGGGTATTATTATGGTTAGAGTCACGATGGATGTTAATAAAATACAATTTAATGAGTAATTTCATAAATAATATGAATAATACTCTGTATAATTACTGTTTTTACATTGGGGTAGGAGTAGACATTAATAAAATGCAATTTAATGGGTAATTTAATAAATAATATAATAAATTCTGGTTGTAATTACTGTTTTCGCTTTCCTGTGAGGGTATTTTATGGTTGGGATTGCGGTGAACGTTAATAAAATACCATTTAATTAGTGATTTATTAAGTAATATTAATAATTCTAGTTATAATTACTATTTTACATTCCTGTGAGGGTATTTTATGTTTTGGGTCGTGGTGAATGCTAATAAAATACAATTTAATGGCTATTTAAATTAATATTATAAATAATTATCATTATAATCACTGTTTTTACATTACTGTGAGGGTATTATTATGGTTAGAGTCACGGTGGATATTAATAAAATGCAAATTTAATGGGTAATTTAATAAATACTATAATAAATTCTGGTTATAATTACTGTTTTCGCATTCCTGTGAGGGTATTTTATGGTTGGGGTTGCGGTGAACGTTAATAAAATACTATTTAATTAGTAATTTATTTAATAAAATCAATAATTCTAGTTATAATTACTATTTTTCATTACTGTGAGGGTATTTTATGTTTTGGGTCGTGGTGAATGCTAATAAAATACAATTTAATGGCTATTTAAATTAATATTATAAATAATTATCATTATAATCACTGTTTTCACATTACTGTGAGGGTTTATGTAGAGGTAGAAGTTAAAAAATACAATTTAATGGGTAATTTAATAAATTATTTGAATAATTGTGGTTATAATCACTGTTTTTACATTACTGTGAGGATTGGGGTAGGAGTAGACATCAATAAAATACAATTTAATGGGTAATTTAATAAATTATTTGAATAATTGTGGTTATAATCACTGTTTTTACATTACTGTGAGGATTGGGGTAGGAGTAGACATCAATAAAATACAATTTAATGGGTAATTTAATAAAAAATATCATAAATTCTGGTTATAATTACTGTTTTTACATTACTGTGAGGGTATTATTATGGTTAGAGTCACGGTGGATGTTAATAAAGTACAATTTAATGGGTAATTTAATAAATTATTTGAATAATTGTGGTTATAATCACTGTTTTTACATTACTGTGAGGATTGGGGTAGGAGTAGACATCAATAAAATACAATTTAATGGGTAATTTAATAAAAAATATCATAAATTCTGGTTATAATTACTGTTTTTACATTACTGTGAGGGTATTATTATGGTTAGAGTCACGGTGGATGTTAATAAAGTACAATTTAATGGGTAATTTAATAAATAATTTGAATTATACTCTGTATAATTACTGTTTTTACATTACTGTGAGGATTGGGGTAGGACATTAATACAATTCAATGGGTAATTTAATAAATAATATTAATAATCCTCGTTATAAGTACTGTATTTATCTTACTGAACAGGTATTTTTTATGGTTGGGGTCACAGTGTACCTTAATAAAATACCATTTAATTAGTAAATTATTAAATAATATAAATAACTCTGGTTGTAAGTACTATTTTACATTACTGTGATGGTATTTAATGGTTTGGGGTCATGGTGAATGTTAATAAAATACAATTTAATGGATATTTAAATTAATATTATAAATAATTATCATTATAATTACTGATTTAACATTACTGTGAGGGTATTTATACAATTAATGAGTAATTTCATAAATAATAGAAATGTTTATTGTTAACTTTCGGCCTTTGCTCTCCTCTAGTGGTGAAGACGCGCAGTCGCATTTGTGTATAGTGGATTTTTATTATAATTAATGTTATTTGTTATTATTATTTTAGTTACTTAAAAGAAATAAAAAATATATATATATTTGAATCAATACAGGAATAGGAATACAAGTTGGATAATAACCTGAGTTGTACGTAGGATAACAAAACAACAAACAAAAACGATATATAATGAAACAAATAAGTAGCAATAAAAGAAAGAGGAAGTAGAGTTAATTTAATAGTAATAAAAAGCGATAATTAACTTGGTGAAAGAAGAATGAGGTTTGGTTGGAAACCTCCAATTGATTGAACCACCAAACATTTAATGGGTCAATTTCAGTTAAGAAGTGAGCACAAAAGGAGGATAACTTGGGAAATTATTGTTTATTAATTAAATTTTGAAAATATAATAAACAAAAATTATATATAAATATATATATATATATATATATATATATATATATATATATATATATATATATATATATATATATATATATATATATATATATATATATATATATATATATATATATATATATATATATATATATATATATATATATATATATATATATATATATATATATATATATATATATATATATATATATATATATATATATATATATATATATATATATATATATATATATATATATATATATATATATATATATATATATATATATATATATATATATATATATATATATATATATATATATATATATATATATATATATATATATATATATATATATATATATATATATATATATATATATATATATATATATATATATATATATATAT